TCCATTGTAATAATAATGAGATATAAAATGATGATCATAATAATTTAAAACATTCATTTAAAATAGTTAAATATGAAAATGTATCAAGACGATGTACAGTTTCATCATGAATTCATAATTGATGAAAATCATTTACAATTGTTCGAAATTGTTTAGCCAAAATAAAACTATAGATCGTATATAAGCATAGGAATTTTAAAGTCAAATATTTTTCGCTAGGTCATTAGTAATTAATGAATTGCAGGAAAGTTTTATCTTCAAATTAATGGGTGATATGTACATAAAGATAATCGGATGCAAGAGAAACTAATATCATATTGATTTGACCACATAATTGTCAAGTATTAGTTAAAATTCGTAATATTACGTCATGTAAAACACGAAGAAGAGCTCTGAAAACAAAAATAAGAATAATAGTTTTTAAATTATAAATAAAATCATTTCGAATACTTACGCACTAAAAGTTTCATTTCATGTTCCATTAACTGATAATAAAACATCATTCTATCGTGTTAATGTAGCATCTTCAGTTAAATTTTCTACAAGTCATCGAAATATTATATTTATATTGATTAACTATCGATTTGTAGATTGATAATTGACATTTTAAAAAAAAATTTAAACTACAGAAAAATTTTATAAATAAAAACAACGGACATTTTTATTTACTAACGCTCGAAAAGCAACATCAAATAGTGTTAATTGTGTGGAATAAATATCCAAAAGTGCTTGATTCTATTTGAACAAAAAGAAGTAACGTAAAATCAGAGACTATTAAAAGAAAAATAACCTGAGATTGTAAATGAGCAAGAAGTAAATCGACAATTTGTCGTGAAAGACGTTTCCATTTATCATCTTCAATTTGGACACTATTAATAATAACTGTGAACAATCGTAAAGCCTATAACAATATAAATTCTATTACTATTTTTTCAGTATATATACATGACATGAAAAGATACTTTTATTTATAATAATTAAGACGCCTAATTTTCCTTCAAACTCAAATACATAACGACAAGATGATTATTTTCAGATCATCGATTCGTGGAAGTATGGGTGTGGGTTCAATCGAGGAGAAAAATTACATCTACATACCCATACTCACACCCTCTCGAGTTTCTAAGATATTGGAGACTTTATAGAAGGACGCCTTTTCTTCACTCTCATTTAATAAAACTTTTTAGGATTTATATTATTCACATAACTCGAACAAGAAAAAAAAATCATATAAAACTGGTTCTAATGCCGCCAAAGCTAAATAAAGAATTTTAACGATAATTTCTTTTTCTCGAAAATGTTTTTTTTGCTTCCTACTATGTGTTTCAGGTTCATGTCCACTTGCTAATAATGAATCATAATGTTTTATTAAATCTTGTATTTTAATAACTTGTTTTGAATGAAGTGTATCATGTGATAACATAACAAGAAATTCAGCAATACAATAAATAAAATGCTATTTAAAAATAAACGAAACGATTAGAAATGCAACGAATTTCATCAGCTTCTAATTAATCATAATTAACACGAATTAAAAGTAATTAAACAAGTCGAGTACAGCAGCTTGAAAATCGCTTTCATTTGTATATTAATATATTTTTTAAGACTAATTTTTTAGTTCTATAGAAACTAAAATAGAAAATAAAAAAAACAGAATAGATCAAATTCGTTTTTTTGTTCATTTTACTCTCGTATTGCACTATTTATATTTGATGCATAACGTGAACCAAATAAAATAAATTATCGATTGTCGAATACTTATTGTATGAATATAAGTTAAAGAATTATTTAATGATACTTGTGAAGAAACATTTGAAGATTTAATAAAAACTAAATTAAAAGAATATTTTTAAATGAATGTTGTGCTAACAGAAAAAATGATTTTCAAATTTCGAATTGATAGCGTTTCTTTCAGATCGCTCACGTCAACTAGATGATTTAATATTCGAATTTCAAGATAGAACCGAATCAAAAGATCTGACACTTTCACAACAAAACTAATCTCGTTAAGATCGTCGATATTTGTAAAATCAGTTTTTCTGTTACTATGACATTCTTATATTGAAATTTTCCTTCTCTAGGAAAGATCCTTTCATCAACCTCAATTAAAACATTTTCATCTAAAGTTTTATCCATAGACAAATTTCAGACACAATACGACATCCTAAAGGTTTTAGCTTAAACAATAAATATTTACTATTTAAAAGAAGTTACCTTTTGTGTACATTGAATGTTGATTTAAAATAATTAAGTGTTTCTTCCAAATTTTTTTGATAAATCTTGTGTAGAAATAAGACTTAAAACTGATTTGATAGACAATAATGATCATTTCTGATGAATTTAATAAACTTTTATGTATTTGATATGATGAACATATTAATTCGAATAATTTCCAAAAGTACCTAATTGTGTATGATTAACTTTTTTAACTTTGTCTGTATTTGATGTTGTTGATGAATCTTTATCATTCTCTTTAAAAAGAAAAACAAATGAATTCCTTTAGATAAGACATGATCAAATATATTCTTCAAATCTAAAACTTTGGAACTCTCTTCTTCTGTGAAAACTGAAATATCAACTATATTCTGTCCAAAAGAATGATGATATTAAAATAGTTCAATTTTTCGAATTACTTGAATCATTTATGCTACTTTCAAAACATTTTTTCGTTTGCTGAGATTTGATAAATCTTCAAAT